TTTTTCTTCCACATTGGCCATTTCGTGGACTTTAGCTTTGAGTCTTTTATTTCAATTCCATTCTGACAAGTTACTTGGAGTTTGTATCATTCTGTAAGTTAAAGGGCTCAGCATCTCTAAACGTCTCCCTATATCACCCCCCCGCCCCGTTTTTTAGATTAGATTTTATTTATCTATTTGAGAGGTAGAGTTACAGACAGTGATAGGGAGAGACAGAAAGGTCTTCCTTCCGTTGGTTCACTCCCCAAATAACCGCAACAGCCGGAGCTATGCCGATCCAAAGCCAGTAGTCAGGTCCTTCTTCCTGGTCTCCCATGTGGGTGCAGGGGCCCAAGGAATTAGGCCATCTTCTACTGCTTTTCCAGGCCATATCAGAGAGCTGGATTGGAAGAGGAGCAGCAGGAACTAGAACTGGCGCCCATATGGGATGCTGGCACTGCAGGCGGAGGATTAACCTACTGCCTTATGGCGCCAGCCCCCCATCCCTTTCAGATGCCATTCGCAAGTGCGGGTTTTCTGTACTTCTGCCTGACCAGCTATTAGTTGGTGGTTCCCTTCTTTCGTTTTGATAATTTGCTAGAATGGCACACAGAGATCGTGAAACACTTTACTTATTACATTTATTGGTTTATTATTGAGAAAATTTTAAAGAATGTAGGTGAATAGCCTGATGAAGAGGTATATAGGGCTAAATTCAAAAGTGTTGGGAACATAGGAGCTCCTGTCTTTCTGGAGTTGGGGTTCAATATCCTCCCTGCATGTGGATGCGTTTACCATCCCAAAAACTGTTCATATAACACTGTTCCAAGAATGTGTGTAGTGTTTAATTTCCTAATCAGTAGGAGTGGTGGGAGCAAGTCAGTGGGTGATCCCTGTAGTCTAATCATTTGCTCTGTTTGGTGACTAGCCTTGTACTGACATTATCTAGGCACCTTTCCTTAAGTTGCCTCACTAGCAGTTAACAGCAGAGACAATAAGCAATACCATAGACATCTCATTGGCTTCAGTTTATGCAACTCTGAATGGCAAATTAAAGGGGAACACACTTTCTGCTGAATAGGTGCCATTATTCTTGTGCCCAGATCAGCTGTGCACAAGATCAGACCTTTAAGAGGAAATTTCAAACAAGTGGGACCAAGTTCTTCTAAGGCATTTTGTTGATGACTTAAGGGGAGAATGAAACATGGCTTTACAGTATGATCCTGAAGACAAAACACTATCAAAGTAAGGGCTACCAAATGGAAGCGTTTCTGTCAAATCAAAAGTTGACATCAAGAGCAAAGGTCATGCCAGCAATTTTTTTGTGTATGTTCAAGGTGTTTGCTTGTTGACTTCCTAGAGGACCAGAAAACCAGTCTATGCTTATTAGGAAGAGTGTTTTGAGATTATTAGCTGAAGCTTTAGCAGAAGAATGTTCAGAAAAACTTTACCATGATGATGTTTTTGTTCATTCCTTTCAATAAACAAGGGTAATTTTGGGGAAGTTTCATTGGGAAATCATTATGTATCCACTTTGAGGTTTGATTTGTTTCCTTCTGACTTTTTGTTTTCATAATCTTAAAAAATTTTTAAAAAACACATTTTTCTTCAGCTAATACTTTTATTTTATTTTTTAAAGATTTATTTATTGGGGCTGGGCCCATGGCTCACTTGGTTAATCCTCCGCCTGCAGTGCTGGCATCCCATATGGGTGCAGGATTCTGTACTGGTTGTTCCTCTTCCAGTCCAGCTCTCTGCTGTGGCCCGGGAAGGCAGTGGAGGATGGCCCAAGTGCTTGGGCCCCTGCACCCACATGGGAGACCAGGAGGAAGCACCTGGCTCCTGCCTTCGGATCGGCGTAGCTCCAGCCATAGTGGTCATTTGGGGGGTGAACCAACGGAAGGAAGATCTTTCTCTCTGTCTCTCTTTCTCACTGTCTAACTCTATCTGTCAAATAAATTAAGAAAAAAAAGAAAAAAAGATTTATTTATTAGGTAAAAGGAGAGAGAGAGAGAGATATCGAGAGAGATCGAGATCGAGATCTTCCATCCGTTGGTTAACTCCCCTGATGACTGCAATGGCTAGAGCTTAGCTGATCTGAAGCCAGGAGTCAGGAGCTTCTTCTGGGTCTCCTACATGAGTGTGGGGGCCCAAGTATTTGGGCCATCTGCTGCTGCTTTCCCAGGCACATTAGCAGGGAGCTGGATTGGATGTGGAGCAGCTGGGATGCCGGCACTGCAGGTGGTAGTTTTATTAGCTATGCTGCAGCACTGGCCTCTGTCCGAGAGCTGTGGGTTATTGTTAAGCTGTTTTATCTTTTAATTCCATTTTTCCAAGAATTTTTTGACGTCCCCCTCATATGAAAAATATCAGTGTTATTCTTGTGTTCTCTAATATATTTTCAATTATTATCTTTTTGCTTTTTTGCAATATAATGATATTCACAGCTTGAATTAACTGGTATAGCTGACTGAATTCTTATATAGCTTCCTAAGGTTCAGTACTTTGGTAAACTTAATTACAGAAATATGCAGCTTATAGTGAGCTTTATACCTTGACTAAAGAATCTAACAAAGTAGAATAAGCACTTTGAAGCTGATTTTGACATCATGAAGACAAAAAATATTTGTAAGCATTCCTCCTATATACATGATTTAGAAACGAGAATACCAGGGGTTGGGTGCTGTGGTATTGCAGGTTGGGCTGCTGGTTGGGGTGTCACATCCTACCAATATTGAAGTGATTGGGATTGAGTCCTGCCCCCCCCCCCCCTTTTTTTTTTGAAAGGCATAGGGACACAGAAAGAGATCATTCTACTGATTTACTCTCCAAGTGACCACAACAGCTTGAGTTGGGCTAGGCTGACAACCAGGACTCCTTCCAAGTCTCCCACTTTGGTAGTAGGAACACAAGAACTTCAACCATCTTCCTTCTGTTTTCCCAGGCACATTAGCAGGTGGCTGCATTGGAAGTGGAGCAGCTGGGATTCGAACTGGTGCTCATATGGAATTCTGGTATTTCAGGCAGTGGTTTAACCCAGTGTGCCACAGTGTGGGCCCCAACCCCTTCTGCTTTTAATCCAACTTCCTGCTAATGGTCATTGGCACTTTAAGTGACAGAAAATGCTGCTTAAGTCTTTGGTTTTCTGCCACTCACATGGCAGGCTCCTTGCGTTAGCCTCACCCAACTGTGACTTTTTTGGTCATTTGGGGGACTGAACTAGCAGATGATACATCTCCCTCTGCCTTTTCCTCTTTCTCTGTCCCATCAATCAGTCAAACTTGAAAAAAAGACAAAAGTGAAACATAAAATTTTTGTGTTTTTTTTTTTTTTTTTTTTTTTTTTTTTTTTTTTTTTTTGCTATTCCAATTAGCAGACTATTACTTTTTGATAAAATGTGAGGTTCAGTTAGATACTTGTTTGGTGTCCTTGTAATCTGCATATCTTTTCACGGTATTTACCTGTACCTTCAAATGCTACTTCTCACTTAGTAAAGTAAGAATGGGTCTAGTGAATTTTAGTAGTTAACAAGTATATTTACTGCCTGTCCTATGAATCTTTCAAGTTTATATTGCTTAACTGTAGGATCTGGGGCCTCACACCAGATTCTTTATTTTAACTATAACTTCTTTGCTCTTTCCCATTTTTCTCATTTTTTATCCCTAAGCTTTCTATGTATAATATTTATAGCATTTTCTTTGGCATTTATTGATGTATCTCTGTACAAATCTAATTTAGAAAAGAAGTATATTTTGAATAGAGGAAAGAAATATAATTGATCTTATTGTAGTCCTATTAACTATATTTTGTGTGTTTTATTCTTACATGTAATTCTTATAAACTTGGTTATAATATTTGTGAATACAGCATTAGTTACCTCATTGTTACATAGTTAGAGTTTTATAACATTATTATTGTTCTAAACAGTCATAGAATATATTTTTATGTATATATTTTTGATGTCTTCAAGCTAAAGTATATAACTGATAGAAAAATGACAGATATTTAATCAACACCTATATTTTTGTATTGTTTCCTTTGTTTCTTTAGAAGTGGAGTAATTGAGTCCAGAATGCTGTTCAGGTCTTTCATATAGGTGACAGGGATACAATCACTTGAATCACTCACTACCTGCTACCTCTTCATGTCTGCACTGACAGGAAGCTGATACTAGGAGCTGGGTCAGGGACTGGAACTTAGGCACTATGGTGAGGGATGTGGGTGTCTTAACTGATAGGCCAAATGCCTGCTCCTGTTCTTTTTTTTAAAATAGGTTTTCTTATTCCTTTAACTGCTTTTTTTTTTTTTTAAGTTAAAGATTTATTTATTTATTTGAGAGGGAAAGACAGAGAGAAAGGTCTTCCCTCTGCTGGTTCACTCCCCAAATGGATGCAATGACAAGAGCTGGGATGATCCAAAGCCAGGAGCCGGCAGACCCATGCACTTGGGCCATCTTCCATTGCTTTCTCAGGCCATAAGGAGAGAGCTGATTGGAAGTGGGGCAGCCAGGATTTGAGCTTGCATTCATACGGGATGCCCGCACTGCAGGTGGAGGCTTAGCCTATTATGCCATAGTTATGTCCCTGCTGTTTTGGTTTTTTAAGGGAAAGTTTTAATTTCTTAAGTTGATTACTGATTGCTTTTGCTTCTAATACTGTTTTCCAAATATTTTGTATAAATTAATGATCAATAAGATTTAAGCTTCCAACTTTTTTCTTCCTTAATTGCTAAATAATTATTTTTATACTTAATCATTACATACATTAATCTGTCTTTGGCCATATAATTACTTCATCAATTGTTTGTTTCTTACTGGTAAGTCGACTAATACTACTTCCCTCCTGTGAGGGAGGTTGCTGTATAGAACCAAATAATTGCTTTTTAACAAGTGTGCTTGTGTTTCTTTTCCTCCATTATGTGTTTTATTTTTCCTAAAGGACCTTCACATTTACTCTGGTGATACCAGAGAATAGCACAACTCTTTTGGATGGGATATCATATCACTTTTTTTTTTTTAAAAGGTGTATTTATTTATTTGAAAGAGTTACACAGAGAGAGAAGGAGAGGCAGAGAGACAGAGGTGTTTTCCATCCGCTGGTCCACTCCCCAACTGGCTGCAACAGCCAGAGCTGCGCCAATCTGAAGCCAGGAGCCAGGAGCTTCTTCTGGATCTCCCATGCAGGTACAGGGGCCCAAGGACTTGGGTCATCTTCTACTGCTTTCCCAGGCCATAGCAGAGAGCTGGATCGGAAGTGGAGCAGCCAGGACTCCACCCGGCGCTCACATGGGATGCTGGCACTGCAGGCAGTGGCTTTACCTGCTATGCCACAGTGCTGGACCCATCATGTCACTTTTAAATTTATTTTTAAAATTTTTGTTTGAGAGATAGAGCAAACACTTTTATCTGCTGGTTCATTCCCAGATAGCTGCACTTGTGGCTGGGGCTAAAGCTAGGAGCCAGAAACTCAATCTAGGTCTCCCATGTGGTTGGCAGGAATCCAGTCACTTGAGTCATCAGTGCTGTCATCTATAGTCTGCATTAGAAGGAAGCTGGTGTCAAAGGCAGAGCTGGGTATCAAATTTACGCATAGTATGGGGTTAAGATGTCTTAATAAGCATCTTAACCACTAGTCAAAGTGTCTGGCCCCATTGTACTTTTTTTTAAGTTACTGTATCCAGTGACTGTGCTGGATCCTTTGGCTGCACCGTGAAATGGACCTTATGATTCAGCAGAGGTGATATACTTAATTGGATAAATAATTGTATCTTCCAAGAAGCAAAGTATATGTAATTCATGATATGGCAACTAGCTTAATCTGTAGATTGAGAGGTATCTTTGATGAAGTGATTTTAAATAAGGACTTGATGGCAAGTAGAAGTTACGCAGTTGTGAAAGAGGGTTCCAGGGATGGCACTGTGGCGCAGTGGGTAAATGCTCTGGCCTGAAGTGCTGGCATCCCACATAGTTGCTAGTTCAAGACCCGGCTGCTCCATTTCCAATCCAGCTCTCTGCTATGGCCTAGGAAAGCAGTGGAAGATGGCCCAAGTCCTTGGGCCCCTGCACCCGCATGGGGGACCTAGAAGAAGCTCCTGGCTCCAGATCAGCCATCTAAATAAAAAAGATTTATTTATTTATTTGAAAGTCAGAGTTACACAGAGAGAGGAAAACCAGAGAGAGAGAGAGAGAGAGAGAGGTCTTCTGTCCGATGGTTCACTCCCCAGATGGCCGCAATGGCTGGAGCTGCACTGATCCGAAGCCAGGAGCCAGGAGCTGCTTCTGGGTCTCCCATGTGGGTGCAGGGACCCACGAATTTGGGCCATCTTCTACTGCTATCCCAGGCCATAGCAGAGAGCTGGGTTGGGAGAGGAGCATCCCGGACTAGAACCTGTGCCCATATGGGATGCCGGCGCTTCAGGCCAGGTTGTTAACCGGCTACGCCACAGCAACAGCCCCATAAATAAATCTTAAAAAAAAAAAAAAAAATAAAACAAAGAGGGTTCCATTGAATGAATAGTACTCTCTTTGGAGTAAAAAGAACACAACTCTGAAGGAGGAATGAGCTTTGAAGTATTTACAGAATTGCAAGAAGAAAGGACAGTGCAGTCCAGAGAGTGGGATGGTCAAAGGAGAAAAGATTATAAATAGGGGATAGATCATGTAGCAAAACTGTTGATGGGTATAAAGTGGAGTAGTGGACTATTTGTATTTGTCTTTTATAGATTGATTCTGTTGTAGAAAGCTTATTGTGTAGATTGATGTGGTGGGGTTGATTAAGAGTGAATATTATGGCCGGCGCCGCGGCTCACTAGGCTAATCCTCCGCCTGCGGCACCGGCACACCGGGTTCTAGTCCCGGTCAGGGCGCCAGATTCTGTCCCGGTTGCCCCTCTTCCAGGCCAGCTCTCTGCTGTGGCCCGGGAGTGCAGTGGAGGATGGCCCAAGTGCTTGGGCCCTGCACCCCATGGGAGACCAGGAGAAAGTACCTGGGCTCCTGCCATCGGATCAGCGCGGTGCACTGGCCGCAGCGGCCATTGGAGGGTGAACCACCGGCAAAAGGAAGACCTTTCTCTCTGTCCACTCTGCCTGTCAAAAAAAAAAAAAAAAAAAAAAAAAAAAATTGGAGGGCTGGCGCTGTGGCGTATCGGGTAGAGATGCTGCCTGCAGTGCTGGCATCCATATGGGTACTGGGTTGAGTCCTGGGTACTCCATTTCCAGTCCATCTCTGACCTATGGCCTGGGAAAGCAGTAGAAGATGGCCGAAGTCCTTGGGCCCCTGTACCCGCATGGAGACCTGGAAGAATCTCCTGGCTTCAGATTGTGGCAGCTCCAGCCTTTGTAGCTATTTGGGGAGTGAACTATCAGATGGAAACCCCCCCCCCCACCCCCACCTCTGCCTCTGCTTCGGCCTCTAACTCTGGCATTCAAAGAAATAAATAAATCTTAAAACAAATATTGGGAGACTATCAAGTTGTTGAAGTCGTTCTTATGGAAGATGATAATGTTGGCTTACATAGGGGAGTAGTAATAGAAGAGACAGGTAGTCAGATCGCTACAGTATTTAGGAGAAAGAAAGGAAAAATGGATGACTGATTAAATTTGAGGTTAGAGAGTAGGATGTGAAGCTGTGAAAAGATGAGTAGAGTCTGGTGCCGTGGTGCAGGAAGTTAATCCTTCACCTGCGGCACTGGCATCCCTTAGGGCACTGATTCTAGTCCTGGCTGCTCCTCTTCCAATCTAGCTCTCTGCTGTGGCCTGGGAAAGCAGTAGAAGATGGCCCAAGTGCTTGGGCCCCTGCACCTGCGTGGGAGATCGGGAACGAGCACCAGGCTACTGGCTTTGGATCCGCATAACTCCAGCCATTACTGCCATTTGGGGAGTGAACCAACAGAAGGAAGACCTTTCTTTCTGTCTCTCCCTCTCACTGTGTGTAGCTCTGACTCTCAAATAAATAAATAATAATAATCTTTAAAAAAAAAGATTATGTGTAGGTGTTTTGGAAGAGCAAAGGGTGGTTCAAAGTATCATTACAGCAGTAGTAAGAACTACAGGGAGAATAGGCTTTTGTCATCAATTTTGGCCAGAGCTGAAAATGTCGATATATCTTAGGAAGTTTTTTAATATGTGGACCCAAGGGCATATCTGAATGGACTGGAGATAAAATTTGCGAGTTAATGGCATAGGTTTTGTACTTTAGTTGCTGATGGAAGTTTTGGATAATGAATGCGTTTGCATATATTTAAAGCTTACATAAAGTGCAGAGATGTTCTTCCAAATAGGTAAGAGAAATATTAGGTGAGAAATAAGTCAAGAAATATATAGGCTCTCATGGTTTGTTTTCTGTACTTATTCTACACATTCTTTAATCTTCATTTCTTACTATTATGTTTGTAATTTATTTATCTTACTTTAATTGTGTGTACCCAAACCTTTTGGGAACAAGGTTAGGTAGATATAACATTCAAGTTTGACCTCTGGGACATTTTCTCCATAGTAAGATAGTGTCAGAATCTTAATCTGTTCATTATTTTTCCATTATATCTGTCCTCTTGACAAAAGTGAAAAAAATTAGTAGTATTAGCTCTATATCTATTTTTGGTATTGAATTCTGGGGATAATAGGGAGAATCTACAATAACTTATGAGTATTGTTTTCTGCGAATGATAATAGTAACTAGAATAATTAGTTTCTTCTTTCCACAAAGGAGATCAGCTCTTATGAGCTCTTGCTTTGCCACCTAAATAAAAATTCTGAATTTTTAAAAAGATTAATTTATTTATTTGATAAGTGTGTGTGTGTGGGAGAGAGAGATATATATCTATTTTCCATCTGTTGGTTTATTTCCCATGGCCTCAAGAGCCAGGGCTGGGCCAACCGGAATCCAGGAGCCTGGAACTCTGACCTGTGTCTCATGTGGGTGGCAGAGGCCTAAGCACTCTTGGACCATCTTCTGCTACTTTCCCAGGCACATTAGGGAGCCAGATCGGAAGTAGAGCAGCTGGGACTTGAATTGGCACTCATATGGGATGCTGGCGTTGCAGGTGGCCTAATCCGCTGTTCCACAATACTGGCTCCAAAATTCTAAATTCTCTTTATTTTAGGAGAAACTAGATATACTTGACTCTGATAATCTTAGCTTATCTTAGATACAGAGTAGAGCTGGAGGCAAAGAAATGTTAAAACCTTGCCCAGTCCTGTTTTGAGAGGATCATTTTGCTTTTATTAATGTAAGATGTTTTAAAAAGTTGTGGCAGGAATTTAATTTAAAAATGTGCTGTTAGAAAAGCTGTTATTCGGGTGCTCTGAAGAAGATAACATGTTGTTGAGAACAGCTGTTTTGTGAGGAATGTTCTGAAATATTCTTGATGGCAACTAGTACAAACAGTGCTCTCACATTTTCATAGTTTTGAAGTTTTTTTTTGCAGGGAGATGTTATACTTTTAACAATCCAAAAAATCTCATTTCCCTTGTGTGTGTGTTTTTTTTTTTTTTTTGTAGAGATGTGAACTGTGTCCTCATAAGGATGGAGCTTTAAAAAGAACAGATAATGGGGGTAAGTGCAGAGATACCTGAAAAAAAATTTATTGAAAAGTGGGAGTGGTATTTTAAAGTTTTGGTAGTTCATAATCTATCAAATGAAATAGTGTTTGTTAAAAAATTTTAACAATAGTTGGATGTAACTTATGAACCTTTTTTTTTACTGAAACAGTTTTTTCTACTCTGGAAAAACATTGGCTATTTTATGCAGAAATTACATATTTCTAATTAAATCTTGTTTTTTATGGATATAATTTATTTTAGAAATTACTTTTGAAAAACGTGTTTATTTTTTGTTATTGTCAGAGGTGACATTTGTTGTTTTAGATGTTTTTACTTTTTCTAGACAGACATTGTTTCTGGTAAATGTTAATTTTAGCAACCTGAAGATCTTCATTGCTTTAATATGAAGAAATGTTGACATCTGTCCCTTTAGTTGTGTTTTTTTTTTTTTTTAAAGATTTATTTCATTTATTTGAAAGGCAGAGTCACAGAGAAAGAGGTCTTCCAACTACTGGTTCACTTTCCCAATGGCTGGGGCTGGGCTGGTCTGAAGCCAGGAGCTTCCTCTAGGTCTCCCTATGTGAGTGTAGGGGCCCAAGCACTTGAGCCATCCTCTATTCTCAGGTGCATTAGCAGGGAGCTGGA